CACGTGATCTTACATTTATCATTCTTTCTTTCTTTCTTTTCTTTCTTTCTTTCTTTTTTTTCTCAAGTGATCTTACATTTATCATTCTTTCTTTCTTTCTTTCTTTCTATCTTTCTTTCTTTTTTTCTCGTGATCTTACATTTATCATTCTTTCTTTCTTTCTTTCTTTCTATCTTTCTTTTTTTTTTCTCACGTGATCTTACATTTATCATTCTTTTCTTTTCTTTCTTTCTTTCTTTCTTTCTCCGTGATCTTACATTTATCATTCTTTCTTTCTTTCTTTCTTTTTTCTTTCTTTTTTTTTCTCAAGTGATCTTACATTTATCATTCTTTCTTTCTTTCTTTCTTTCTTTCTTTCTATCTTTCTTTCTTTTTTCTCACGTGATCTTACATTTATCATTCTTTCTTTCTTTCTTTCTTTCTATCTTTCTTTCTTTTTTTCTCACGTGATCTTACATTTATCATTCTTTCTTTCTTTCTTTCTTTCTTTCTTTCTCACGTGATCTTACATTTATCATTCTTTCTTTCTTTCTTTCTTTTTTTCTCAAGTGATCTTACATTTATCATTCTTTCTTTCTTTCTTTCTTTCTTTCTATCTTTCTTTCTTTTTTTCTCACGTGATCTTACATTTATCATTCTTTCTTTCTTTCTTTCTTTGTTTCTCACGTGATCTTACATTTATCATTCTTTCTTTCTTTCTTTTTTTCTCAAGTGATCTTACATTTATCATTCTTTCTTTCTTTCTTTCTTTCTTTCTTTCTATCTTTCTTTCTTTTTTTCTCAAGTGATCTTACATTTATCATTCTTTCTTTCTTTCTTTCTATCTTTCTTTCTTTTTTTTCACGTGATCTTACATTTATCATTCTTTTTTCTTTCTTTCTTTCTTTCTTTCTATCTTTCTTTCTTTTTTTCTCACGGGATCTTACATTTATCATTCTTTCTTTCTTTCTTTCTCACGTGATCTTATATCTATCATTCTTTCTTTCTTTTTTTTTTCTCAAGTGATCTTACATTTATCATTCTTTCTTTCTTTCTTTCTTTCTTTTTTCTCAAGTGATCTTACATTTATCATTCTTTCTTTCTTTCTATCTTTCTTTCTTTTTTTCTCACGTGATCTTACATTTATCATTCTTTCTTTCTTTCTTTCTTTCTATCTTTCTTTCTTTCTTTCTCACGTGATCTTACATTTATCATTCTTTCTTTCTTTCTTTCTTTCTTTCTCACGTGATCTTACATTTATCATTCTTTCTTTCTTTCTTTCTTTTTTTCTCAAGTGATCTTACATTTATCATTCTTTCTTTCTTTATTTCTATCTTTCTTTCTTTTTTTCTCACGTGATCTTACATTTATCATTCTTTCTTTCTTTCTTTCTTTGTTTCTCACGTGATCTTACATTTATCATTCTTTCTTTCTTTTTTTCTTTTTTTCTCAAGTGATCTTACATTTATCATTCTTTCTTTTTCTTTCTTTCTTTCTTTCTTTCTATCTTTCTTTCTTTTTTTCTCAAGTGATCTTACATTTATCATTCTTTCTTTCTTTCTTTCTTTCTATCTTTCTTTTTTTCTCACGTGATCTTATATTTATCATTCTTTCTTTCTTTCTTTCTTTCTTTCTCACGTGATCTTACATTTATCATTCTTTCTTTCTTTCTTTTTTTCTCAAGTGATCTTACATTTATCATTCTTTCTTTCTTTGTTTCTTTTTTTCTCACGTGATCTTACATTTATCATTCTTTCTTTCTTTCTTTCTTTTTTCTCAAGTGATCTTACATTTATCATTCTTTCTTTCTATCTTTCTTTCTGTTTTTCTCACGTGATCTTACATTTATCATTCTTTCTTTCTTTCTTTCTTTCTCAAGTGATCTTACATTTATCATTCTTTCTTTCTTTCTTTCTATCTTTCTTTCTTTTTTTCTCACGTGATCTTACATTTATCATTCTTTCTTTCTTTCTTTCTTCCTTTCTTTCTTTCTATGTTTCTTTCTTTTTTCTCAAGTGATCTTACATTTATCATTCTTTCTTTCTTTCTTTCTTTCTTTCTTAAAATGTTGTTTTTTTAAATTCATAGTCGAATTTTCTTTCTTTCATTCAATCTTTTTGTTCTATCCTTTTTTTCTTTATTTTTGTGTCATTCGATTAATATTATCAGCTTACTTTTTTGTTTCTTCCTTTCTTAGGTGTTTTTTTATTCATTATTTATAATTTTTTGCTTACATTCATTCTTAACACAGCTTTCTTTCTTTCTCAGGTGTACTTTCATCATTTTTATTCCTTTCCTGAGATCGGCTTTCATTCATACTCAATTGAACTTTTTTCTTTCTTTCATTTATTTATTCTTTCTTTCTTTCTTTCTTTCTTTCTTTCTTTCTTTCTTTCTTTCTTTCTTTTTCTTTTCCCTTAATTTATTTTCATTCTTAGGTCCTTTTTCATTCATTGTTTATTCTTTCCTGAGTTTCTTTTTTATTATTAATTTTTTACTGAAATGTCATTCTTCGATTCATCCTTAATTGTGTTTGCCTTCTTCTTTATTCGTTTCTTTCTTTCTTAAGTTTTTCATATGGTTTCCTTTCGTTTATTCTTAACTTTTGTTTCGTTTCGTTTCGTTTCTTTCTTTCTTTCTTTCTTTCTTTCTAAAATGTCCTTTTTTCATTATTCATTTTGCTGTTTTTGCTATAAATCATTTAGAAAAATAATTTCTTTCTTTTTCGTTTTCTTTTCTTTCTTTATTCTTTCTTTTTTAAGTTTTCGCTCGCTTAATTTTGTTTATTAGTTTTATTCTCTCCTTTTTTAAAACACACACACATACACACACACACGCACACACACACACACACATATATATATATATATGAAAAGTGTATATAAATATAAATAAATATATATATGTATAATTATTTATATATTATATACATTACCAAATATATATATATATATATATATATAAATAAATACATATATATATATATATATATATATATATATATATATATATATATATATATATATATATAGTAACCCATATAAGAACCCGGATATAAAGAAACCCGGATATAAGAGACTTCTTCTCGGTCCGACAACCCTCTTATATCCGGGTTACACTATATATATATATATATATATATATATATATTATAGTAAAAAAAGAAGAACAGTGTATATATTCCGGTGTTCTTATTGATATTATTATTTTTCATAAGAGAGTTCAATGTAAATTTACAGAGCATAAATATTATAAATTAACTGATTTACAAATATGGTTTAATCCTTCATCAGTTAATATATATATATATATATATATATATATATATATATATATATATATATATATATATATTAATCATTTCGCATACGTTTCATTAAAGACAACAGACAAGGTACTCCGACTAAGCTTTTATTTATTTTTTCTTGTGTTCGAACAAGTGTTTCCTTTTTTAGAAACAGAATGTGTAGAAAGTGTTCAAATGTTCTATAATTACGAGCGCTTTCTTCTATACATTTAGACATTATAAAGGATCATTTTATTTTTTAGTAGTACCTTGTCTGTCGTCTTTAATGAAACATGTATAAATGAAGGATTGCTGCTAAATACACAATAATCATTTCACGAAGATAATTATTTCAAGAAGGTGATAATGACATTATGACTCAGAGTGTTACAGGTAATGAAAGAGAATAAGAAGTCTTTATTGAGAAAATGAGGAAAGATCAATAAAGGATCAGGTTACAGAAAGACAGAAGACGGCGATTGATGTTAGATTTACATTTTTGAAAGTTTTAGGTTGCAAGGAAGCAAGAAATCAGAAGCGAGTTCCACATATCAACAGCAAAACAGTCATGAGACCTAATTGACAATCCAGTATCACGCTTAAGTTCATCCAGAAGCAGCGCTAAGCAAAAAATAAAAAAAGCAGCACATCAGAAAATTTGTTCTGAAAATATTTTAAGAAAAGATAGAGGGGCTCCGCGTCACGTCGGTTAGAAAGTGGCTGAAGATGAGATGACAGAACAGGATCTATTACATTATTTAGATTATTCGGACTATTGCCCTCGTCTTTGTCGCCATATTTATGTCTATTCGGCCGTTGTACGCTCCGGCCTTCTTCAGTATCTGTCTATATTTCTGAGATGAGGTGTTATGTACACTATTTACATTATTCGGATAATTGTCCTCATCTTTGTCGCCATATTTATTACAACGTTTCGGCCGTTGTACGCTCCGGCCTTCTTCACGTGGTTGGAATGTCGAACTGAAGCCTTTATTTCGCTCACTGGTTTAGATTGTTCTAGTTCCACGTGTCATGGTGTTCTTTGTTTATGATCTCAAAAGAACACCATTGGAAAATTCGTAAACTTAAGGAATCAGCACATATGCTAGGCCGCAAAAATCTCCTGAGCCGACCAAGCATAGAAATGAATACAATATGGGAACCAGTAATAAGGAGTGCCAGAGAAAAGCGATAATAACAACAAAAATTGCAATATGAGCTCTGGTAAATAATATGCAATGATAACAGCAAAACTTGCAATATGTGCACTGGTAAAAATGGTTGCTGAAGACATTAGGTTTATAATGTCCAGAAATTCATAAACAGATGTCCTCATGGACACATGGCACAGTGCATAAAGGTGTTGGTTAGATCCAATGATAGGACCCAAAGAGTGTGAGTTCAATACCCGGTTGAGTCAGTGGAGAACTTTCAGATGGAAATTAGCAAATAATGTAAATAATGTGCATCATACCTCATCTCAGAGATATGAAGGATCTATTACATAAGAAAACCTTTTTAAAACATTTTGTCAAGTATCTCGACATACACAGTAGGAGCACCAGACCGGATATGGCAGCAGTGTGTCTCTGTGTTGTTCTGTTTGAGATGCAACTGTGTTATTATGCTGAAATAGACAATGCACTCACAATTAAAACGAAATCGTCAAGGGAAGCCGGGTAAAGGGTTGGCTTGTAGTTACTCCAGTCCACCGAAGTATATGACCTTACATCTGCACCCCGCATTGCAATCGTGTGAAGGAAAATATTGGGAAAATTGATATTTAAACAACCACATCATAAATGATTGAAGCAGTGTCTCACATACCCCAGAGAATGTAATGGCGACATTAAGTTGGGGACTCGAAAGGGATCGTATTGTATGAAATGGAAGAGGTTATCTAACGAAACTTTTTTCATGAATAAGATTTTAAGTAATGAAGATTCAAGTGTCCGATCTCGAAGTATGGCACTATTGGAGCATTATTCTTTGAAGATGATCGGGTTAACGCAGTGACAGTGACAGCGTTTCATTCCAGTGCTTGAGCAGTTCTGGGGAGAGCTCGAGGAGCCTGAGGTGATTGATGAGGTGGAACAGTGGCTCCAGCAGGATGATGCTCCTCCTCACATTGCTAATTTTACCATGGCATGGCTCCGTGAACGTCTCATTATCCACAGATTTAAAGTGGAATGGATTCCTCATCCACCTGACCTGGACCCCTCAACACATTTTTTCCTCTTGAGATTTCTGAAGGACAAGGCAACCTGCGCACCATTGATACATTAAAGGCAGCCATCACTGAGATGATTCAAGCGGTCACCCAGACGGAATGTACACGCATCGTCAACAATTTTGCATTTAACAGTACCTTCAAGTGAACGACGGACATCTGAGGCATGTACCCTAGGGCTCCTCTTGGCAGTTTTGATAAATGTTTGAGAGTAAATGGTTTCAGGTCATAAAATGATATCCTTTCAATAAATGTAAGTTTTTTTTACTCTATCATTTGTGGTCCTTCATTTGTGCCCGAACATTTTGTTTTAAAAATTGCGAAACACCCTGTATTTAAACTCACAAAAGTTTCTTTTCTATACTTTGTTAATAAATTATAAATATCTTTGCGTTCTTTACTGCTCATGCAATCTATAAAATAAACCCGAAATCTGTAATGGTTTTGGTGGGTGGCTAATATTCTATATTGTAAAGTTTTCTCTCTACAGACAAAACATCAACATTAGGAAGTGAATATTATGAGGATAAAGACTGCAAATCTATTGACATTTCAATGGTAAATCTTCAGAAGATGTTTAATCTTTAGTGCGACCAGCTCTGATCTTTACAGCTAAGACCTGTCCGGCTACATCCACAGGGATAAATTCTCACTCATTACTTCCGTATTCCATTTGTAGGAAAGAAGTTTCTTTTTCCTAAGAACAGCTACATTGTTGAATAGACTTTTGCGGAGATGCTTTCCCGGATATTACGATAGTAGCCTCTTCGAGTCTAGTGACAATTTTTATCTATCCACCATATCCTCATAATATTCACCTTCTACATCTGTCTGTTACAGCTATACAATATTTTTTAGTAGTCTTCAACCTTGAGCTGTTCATGATCCTTGTATTGAGTGGGTATTAGTTAAAAACGTTATGAAAAAATTGACAATACATATATATATCAATAATTTATAATATATATATATATATATATATATATATATATATATATATATATATATATATATATATATATAAATTAATTGATTTAAAATATATTTTTTCGCTACAGTTCTAACCATGTTTTGTAAAAATAAAAATATCTATAAGAACACCGGATTATATATCTTACTGTTTCTTTATATATATACATATATATATATATATATATATATATATATATAGATATATATATAGATAGATAGATATAGATAGATATAGATAGATATAGGTATAGATATATATTGTGCTGTCACTTGTCTGAGACAAACTCCATCTATCGTGCCCGTTTTCACAGAAATACCTTCAGCAAGGCATGAATCCATATACTGTCCTGACCAACCAACTATGGAGTTAATAGAAGCGCAGGCTGAATTCTTCAGATTTGGTTGACTTAGAATCACCATATTCAAAACAAAAAGAGCAAACAGTCTGAAGCCTGGAATTCTCATATTTTTAAATCGATATCACCCCATGCAAGGCAGTAAAGACAAAAGGGTTACAGGGTGTGGAAGAATTAGGATCATCAATAATGAGCGGGAAATGAAAAGAGTAATGAGGTGGACAGTAGATAGCGATTGACATTGCATTTAAATTTTTGTTGATTAAAGGTGGCTGGAAAGCATGGAGTCGGAAGACAGTTCCACAAACAAGAAGTGCAAGAAAAGAAAGAGTTAGCATATAACTTACGCGCTAATACCCTTGGGAAATGTAAGAATCCTTTTCTTTTCCTCCAGGACAGACTGCGTTCTATAACATTGGGTAGGAACTGGTCTAGAAGGAAAAAAAATCTGAATTCAGGACCTTCCTGGAAAGTATTGGGCTCTGTCTGGCTATCTTGCTCAATTCTACAGTGGCTGCAGTACACATGGTGGCTCTATGACCCTGCAGGACATGGGATAAAGAATATGTAACATCATTCTCTTTAAACATGCAGGAATGCAATCCATAAAAACTAAGTATGAAAAAAAGAAAAAAAAAATGGTCGCTAAACTATGAAAAGCGAATATTACATTTGTTCCAACAGCTTCCACCCACTCTGCTACCTTCACGAGCAAACTATCATTTCATGCCTTCAACTCGTGTAAAAACATCAATAAACATCACTGGTGGTCGTTTCAGTGCTGTCATCAAAGTTCCCGGAAAATGATGATGGTGAGTAAGATGATGGTAACAAGGTTGCACGCGTACGCCTCTTCCAAGTTCGTCGGTTGGCGCGGGTGGGCCAACGGCGGCTGTTAGTCGCACCTGCCGGCTGTCCATTGAGACTGCGCACTTGTCAACTTCTATTTGATCCGCCATCAGTTGACAAATTTCGCGCCTACTGCCATTCACCGAGAATCATCAACTATGTGCGCATGCCCAGGCTCCATTTTTATTTATTTGTCATTTATTTTCGTTTTTTAATGTTACTTCATTGTCATCTTTTTTGTCAGCTTTCCTAATTTCCATTCTTTTTGCCGTAGTGTCTTTATACTTTTTCTTTATTTTTGTCCAGTTTTTTTCTATCTTTCTTTTAGTAAAGTTTCTTTTCGTTTTAGTTGTTTTTCTTTCTTTCTTTCTTTTTCTTTTAGTCGTGTTTCTTTCTTTTAGTCGTGTTTCTTTCTTTTTCTTTTTAGTCGTGTTTCTTTTTTCTTTTTCTTTTAGTCATGTTTCTTTCTTTTAGTCGTGTTTCTTTCTTTTTTGTTTTAGTCGTGTTCTTTTTATTTTTATTTTAGTCGTGTTTCTTTCTTTTAGTCGTGTTTCTTTCTTTTTCGTTTTAGTCGTGTTTCTTTCTTTTCTTTCTTTTAGTTGTTTCTTTCTTTTAGTCGTGTTTCTTTCTTTTTCGTTTTAGTCGTGTTTCTTTTTTATTTTTATTTTAGACATGTTTTTTTTTAGTCGGGTTTCTTTCTTTTTCGTTTTAATCGTATTTCTTTTTTATTTTTATTTTAGTCGTGTTTCTTTCTTTTAGTCGGGTTTCTTTCTTTTCCGTTTTAGTCGTTTTTCTTTCTTTTTTCTTTTTAGTCGTGTTTCTTTTAGTCGTGTTTCTTTCTTTTTCGTTTTAGTCGTGTTTCTTTTTTCTTTTTCTTTTAGTCATGTTTCTTTCTTTTAGTCGTGTTTCTTTCTTTTTTGTTTTAGTCGTGTTCTTTTTATTCTTATTTTAGTCGTGTTTCTTTTAGTTGTGTTTCTTTCTTTTAGTCGTGTTTCTTACTTTTTCGTTTTAGTCGTGTTTTTTTTTTATTTTTATTTTAGTCGTGTTTCTTTCTTTTAGTCGTGTTTCTTTCTTTTTCGTTTTAGTCGTTTTTCTTTTTTTTCTTTTTATTCGTGTTTCTTTTAGTCGTGTTTCTTTTTTAGTCGTTTTTTTTTCGTTTTAGTCGTGTTTCTTTTTTTATTTTTTTTTTCTTTCTTTTTTAGTCGTGTTTCTTTCTTTTTAGTCGTGTTTTTTTTTTTTTTAGTCGTTTTCTTTTTATTTTATTTTAGTCGTTTTCTTTTTTTAGTCGTGTTTCTTTCTTTTTCGTTTTAGTCGTTTTTCTTTTTTTTCTTTTTATTCGTGTTTCTTTTAGTCGTGTTTCTTTTAGTCGTGTTTCTTTTTCGTTTTAGTCGTGTTTCTTTTTTATTTTAGTCGTGTTTCTTTCTTTTAGTCGTGTTTCTTTCTTTTAGTCGTGTTTCTTTCTTTTTCGTTTTAGTCGTGTTTCTTTTTTATTTTTATTTTAGTCGTGTTTCTTTCTTTTAGTCGTGTTTCTTTCTTCTTCGTTTTAATCGTGTTTCTTTTTTATTTTTATTTTAGTCGTGTTTCTTTCTTTTTCGTTTTAGTAGTTTTTCTTTCTTTTTTTCTTTTTAGTCGTGTTTCTTTTTCTTGTAGTGTTTCTTTCTTTTTCGTTTTACTCGTTTTTTTTTGTATTTTTCTTTTAGTCGCTTTTTTTTTTTTTGTCGTGTTTCTTTCTTTTTCGTTTTAGTCGTTTTTCTTTCTTTGTTTTCTTTTTAGTCATTTTTTGTCGTGTTTCTTTCTTTTTCGTTTTACTCGTGTTTCTTTTTTCTTTTTCTCTTAGTCGTGTTTCTTTCTTTTAGTCGTGTTTCTTTCTTTTTCGTTTTAGTCGTTTTTCTTTTTTTTTTCTTTTTAGTCGTGTTTCTTTCTTTTAGTTGTGTTTTTTCATTTTCGTTGTACTCGTGTTTCTTTTTTATGTTTCTTTTAGTCGTGTTTCTTTCTATTTCGTTTTAGTCGTGTTTCTTTTTTATTTTAAATTTAGTCTTGTTTCTGTCTCTTAGTCGTGTTTCTTTCTTTTTTGTTTTAGTCGTGTTTCTTTTTTATTTTTATTTTAGTCGTGTTTCTTTCTTTTAGTCGTGTTTCTTTCTTTTTCGTTTTAGTCGTGTTTCTTTTTCATTTTTATTTTAGTCGTGTTTCTTTTTTCTTTTTCCTTTTAGTCGTGCTTCTTTCTTTTAGTCGTGTTTTTTTCTTTTAGTCATGTTTCTTTCTTTTTCGTTTTAGTCGTGTTTCTTTTTTCTTTTTCTTTTAGTCGTGTTTCTTTCTTTTAGTCGTGTATCTTTCTTTTTCGTTTTAGTCGTGTTTCCTTTTTATTTTTATTTTAGTCGTGTTTCTTTCTTTTTCGTTTTAGTCGTGTTTCTTTTTTATTTTTATTTTAGTCTTGTTTCTTTTTTATTTTTATTTTAGTCGTGTTTCTTTCTTTTAGTCGTGTTTCTTTCTTTTAGTCATGTTTCTTTTTTTTTTGTTTTAGTCGTGTTTCTTTCTTTTAGACGAGGTTCTTTTCTTTTTTTCTTTTAAGTTTCTTTGTTTCTTTTAGTCAGGTCATTTCTTTTTTTCCGTTAGCAAAGTTTCTTTCCTTCTTTTTTTTCGTCGAGTTTATTTCTTTCTTTTAAACGAGGTACTTTCTTTCTTTTAGTCAAGTTTCTTTTTTCTTTTTGTTGAGTTTCTTTCTTTTTCGTTTGGGTTAAATTTCTTTCTTTCTGCTTTTTAGTAAATATATTTTTTCATTCTTTTAGTCGAATTTCTTTCTTTTTATAAAATTTCTTTCTTTCTTTTACTAAGATTTCTTTCTTTCTTTCTTTATTTTGGTCGAGTTTCTTTCTTTCTTTTAGTAAAGTTTCTTTTTAGTTTCTTTCTTTTGGTCTAGTTCCTTTCTTTCTTTCTTTTAGTCAAGTTCCTTTCTTTTAGAAGTGCTTCTTTCTTTTAAACGAATTCATTTCTTTCTTTTAGTAAAAATTCTTTATTTCCTTTAGTTGATTTTTATAACTTGGAAATAGATTTGGGAATAACTGAAATTAATTGCGAAATCCAGCGAAAGTCATCCATGAAATAAAAATAATTGTTTGTACAGAAAGTAAGGACCTACGTACATCAAATTGTTTTTAAATTAAGCGACGGCAGAAGAATTATTGTTGAACTTTTAAAAGATATGCTTAAATATTAATGCAATACTTAAATGCAGCGATCAATTTTGAGTTCTTCCGTAGTTTATTGTGGCCTATCGCATACGGCAGCTATATGCCTCGCAAAAAGAAATGTCCGCCAATAGAGGATCAGATTGCAAACAAAAGAGTCTAGGCTGTAACGAGGAAAAGAAAGTCCCGTGCAAATGAAAATCCAGATCAAACGGCAGCCAGGAGAGCTTCCAATACTGGGAATATCCAACGACTTAGGGATTCTCAAAATCAAGAAGAAACCGAAGGCTCAATCAAGAGCCCTCCGCAGGACCCTTCTTAAATGACGCCTGATAGTACGGCTTTTAAGCTAGTATAATAATATAAAGGAATATACAGACAATGCTGTCTTGGCTGACGGCTGGAATCACAAGACTCTTTTATTTCATTTAGAGAAGCGACTCTTCTATATCATTCAAAGTGACACAAAGTATCAAGGCAAATTTAGAATGTCGTAACCTGTATTTATCATATTATATGTGTGCGCATCTATCTATCTATCTATCTATCTATCTATCTATCTATCTATGTGTACATGATGCATTTAAGTAAATATATTTTCTGGGCGATTGAGGTCGATGTGCATCCGCCTTTGAGTGATATATATATATATATATATATATATATATATATATATATATATATATATATATATATATATACAATCGGAGAATTACATAAAGTATTATACGATGCTTTTTCAACATCACTCGATGGATAAATAAATTATGATTTGGTTTTACGTCTCTCTCTCTCTCTTTTCTTTCTCTCTCTCTCTCTCTCTCTCTCTCTCTATATATATATATATATATATATATATATATATATATAATTACAAAAATCATATCATACAGTATTTATCCATCGAATGATATTGATATTATTGTACTATGGCTATCAACATAACTTGATGGATAAATAGATTATGACTTATATTATATATATATATATATATATATATATATATATATATATATATATATAGAAGAGAGAAGAGAGAGAGTTAGAGAGAGAGACAATAAAACCAAATTGTTTGCAAAGCATCAAAAGAACATTCATATCAATATGAAACCTGCCAAAATAGGAAAGATGAAAATGTCAAAAGCAAAATGTAAGAGAATGACAAAAGAAAAACAAAAACAAAAAATAAACGGCATGAGAAAAAACAGCCCTCCATATATATATATATATATATATATATATATGCAATATTGATATAGTTCTCTGTTTGACAGACGTAAATATATGGCTGCACAATAAATAAAGAGAAGTGCCCTTCGGTAGAAAAAGCAATAGCTGACAATTATTCAGAATTACACACCTTTGTACATTGTATACTGACGGCGTGATGCACCCCCCCACGTCTCACGTCGTCCCTCAAAAAAAGAAAAAGAAAGGGAGGAGCCTTTGATATTTACAAGCATACCAATAGATTCAGTACGCGCTTGCATCAACACAAGTTTCTGCCGTCGCGAGGGAAGATCTCATCTATATTAAGCCAAACGTTTCTGCTCATCGTCGCCCGTCTTCCTCAGTCCTGGTGTCTCTTTCTCGTCCCCGACACTTGATTTCCCTAGTCAGCCATCTAAATGGCGACACGAAATGTAAAATTTGTGAGATATTCATTTTGAAGATAGGTTTTTTGTTGTAGAAATGCATTTTTTGTGATGATATCGTCACTTTTGATGGAAAGGGAAGACTTAAAACGCAGAATATCTGCAAAGTAGTTAAAGTCGCCCCTGGTAAAGGACAGTCACACGACTAATTCAGACACGCACTGGATCGTTGAAACGACTGAACACTTATACGCATGCGCTCACATACGCACACTGACACGCGCACATACACAAAGACGCACACAAAGACGCACGCGCATATACATACGCATCCGCGCAGAAACACATACACACACATACAGAGGTACAGAGGCTCGCAAACGCAAGAAAAAATTAACTTTTACATTCAAGGGAGAAGTAGAAAGAGAGGCGGAGATAGAGTTTTATATATATATATATATATATATATATATATATATAATACAGGTAATCGATCCGTTGGTATATAATCCAGGTGGTTTCTAGAAATATTAATTATTAAAACAGATCCTCAGATAGCTCGATGTTTTTATTTTAACAGAGTATATGTATTTCTTATAGTAAAAAAACAAAAACAAAAATTACCTCAACATGGGAATAGTCTATTTCAAGCCGTTCTGTACGCGGCTATCACCCGCCCCAAAGTGTCAGTCTCGGAGCATTGTTTTAAATTTATGTTCAATGTCAGGGGCTTAAGTTTAAATCCCCCATCAATCATTAATAATATTGGACACCTGTAGTACAAAGACTATTTAATGTGAATCCAAGGAAAAAAAAAAAAACAAAAACAAAAAAACAGTGGGGCCTGTATAAGAAACGCTACATAGTAGGAACTGATATTAAACTACAAACAACAAAAGTACTGGCCATAAATAAACTCTAACCCCAGACCGCTTCCCCCAGGTTAAGATATCTTACGCCCCCACCAAACGCTAACACAAACCCATTCTCAACAACAAGGCGTCTACCAGAGGAGGACTGACATTGAAAATAAATTTGTAGAGAAAAATGATGCATTTCAATATTACTCAATGATCTTCCCATGTGATCTCCATCTTCTGTCTTTCTCCTTCTATATTTTGGATAGGAGTCATTTCCTTGTTCAAATTTAAATTTAATTTAAATCACAGGAAAAAAATTTCTGTGGGGGTATGTACGATCTCCTTTGATCAAAATGAAATGTACTTATCCAAGTAACCTAGGAGTCATTACCTTGTTTAAATTTAAATTTAAAAGGGGAAATATTTTCAGTGCAGGACTTCTGTCCCCCGCCTCTGGTGGACCCCTTTTGATCAAAATGAAATATACGTATCCAAGTAGACTGGGAAATGTTGTTTCAGAATATATACGGTTATGGGGGTCTATCTCCAAATTCCTAGGGGGTGTTCGATAACAGACAGACAAAGGCCATAACTTTATTATATATAGCCTGTCATGATAATTAAAAAAAGGTTCAGAATTAAAAATGTTAAGATCCAGAGTTGGTGGCTGGAGTTGGTTAATTTTTATCGACAGCAATGCGGTTTTCAATTGCACACTTTATTAAATCTTTGAGGGTAGATTGTTCTCGTTCAACTGCCCTGAAATTCAAACAGAAATTTTCACCATCTCTTAAGAAATTGCACAGTGATTTGTTCCTTAAGATTTATTTCTAGTGGGTACCCATATTTGTGTAGACGTTCCGTTTATTTATTACACAGTATATTTATTTATTTTCGTTTGCCATCCTGAATACTCGAGAAATCGCATTAAAGAAAAATATGCCTCCTCCGGCAGAATTCGAACTTGCATCCCTCTTGGCAGGAGAAATCGTCGTTAGATACGACGTGCTTTACTCCGTCTCGACCATAGCATCTTATAAACGCAAATTCATATCTGCTCAATTTCGAATCCTAAAGTAAACAAAGCAATTTCTAAAGAAGTGATGGATTTATTTCTTAATCTGACAGATTTTATTACTTAAACGTTATTTTTAGTGGATGCACATATTTGAGTAAACGTAGTATTTATTCATCAAACAGTATATTCATTTATTTTCGACTACCGGACTGAATATTGAAGAAAACATATTAATGAAAAATATGCGATCTCCGGCAGGATTCGAAACTGCGCCCCACTTGGCAGGAGAAAAGCGGTATTGGGAATATGAAATATATGTGTACTGTTTAATTTTAAAATATTTTATTGTCATACGTTATTTATATAGACACAAATATTTAAGTAAATACTCTGTTTATAATTAACAGTATTTACAACATTTACCGCCCTGAGGGTCCAAGAAATTTTCATAGAAAATACGTGTCCTCCGACGGGAATCGAACCTTGTATCCTACACAGAAGCGTCATATAGTCTGACGTGCTATACCAGTTTAGCTACGAAGGAGCGTCTGGTTAGTAAAGTCGATTTTACTGATTTTAAACTATAATTTTCCATGATTTCCCTCGTACACTCATATCTGCTTGAAGCCTATCTAAACGTAAACAAATGACCTCACACATTACGAACAATTATTTTAAGACATTTTCTGTTCATACGCTATTTTTATAGATACACATATTTAATTAAATGCTCCGTTTATAATAAACAGTTATAACAACATTTACCGGCCTTAATGGCCGAGAAATTTTCATAGAAAATGTCTTTCGACAGGAATCGAATCTGTATCCTACGCGGAACGGTCATATATCCTGACGTGCTATACCAGTGCAGCTATATAGAAGCGTCTGGTTAGCAAGGTCGATTTTACTAGACTACAATCTTCCATGATTTCTCTCGAACGATCATATCAACTCGAAGCGTATCTAAACGTAAAGAAATGACGTCACACACTACGAGATGGAAAAGTTCGACAATTACTTTAAGATATTTTATTGTTATATTCTTTAAAAAATAATATTCAAATATAGGAATCCAATAAAAAGAAGGTTTAGGTAATAACATCTATAGGATTGATAAATAAAAATATATCATTTCTTCTGAAATTGCATTGCTTACGTTAGGATTCGAAACTCAGCAGTATATGATTGTTTCGAGAGTCTGAAAAAGATTTGCGTTTATAAGACACTAGTCAACATTGCTTGATCATCGGCGGACATCTTAGGCGAGACGGGGTAAAGAACGTCGATTCTAACGGCAATTTCTCCTGGCAAGATTCGAATCACAGATACAATAATAGTAACGCCTTTGAACAATACGCGATCAGACAACGCTAATTGCCATATATATATATATATATATATATATATATATATATATATATATATATATAGAGAGAGAGAGAGAGTTTATGCAAATTTAGGTAATCCGTATGGGTAGACCTGAGGAGGATGATATCAGAGAGCTCAATGTAAAATTCAGAGCAGATATGTTTGAATAAAAAGACAGACCACGTTAAGATTCCATGTAATAAGCTATTTCACCATAACCCCTTTAACAGGGTTCTGGATCATCAGACTTTACTTCCAAAAGCTGAAATGAAAATGAAAAAAAGAAATTCACACGTTTTTACGGACCTCATCAAGTATACATAAAGTTAACGAAGTGAGGAAGTGAGGTGGGAGAGAGGATATGAGTGTGTCATATGTATCATTTTAGTTTCCTATTTTAACCCCAGTGTGTCGGCTAGATGTTGCTCAAATTTAACGCGTCTCGTCTTTTAGATAAAAGAAAAAACAACTGGCTAAGAAGGCGAATGATAAGAGCGACATTAAAGGAAGACGTTACAACAACCCCAATCAATTACACGACAGGTTTCATTCAAATTCTTAGACGCTGTCAGTTCGCGTTACTTTAACGTGCATATTTGGGAGGTTAAGGTTTGATAAATATCTAAATGTTAAAAATCTACGAAAAGAAATTAATTTGAATATATATATATATATATATATATTTCCTTTACCCATATATATATATATATATATATATATATATATATATATTTTCCTTTACGCATATATATATATATATATATATGGATAAATATATATATATATATATATATATATATATATATATATATATATATATATATATAAAAAATGATAAAGATATATATATATATATATGGGTAAAAAAGATATATATATATATATATATATATATATATATATATATATATATATATATATATATAAATATATAAATATATATATATATATATATATATATATATATATATATATATATATATATATATACTGGTTAACCAATAAAAATCCGTCACTTCTTGAGAAATTACAATGGTTTGTGCCACTTGACTTGCAATATGTGAGATTTAAAATTATACCCTTTTCCACAGACGAATTAAAGGAAGTGTTTCCTTGTAAGCTTATGAAGTATACTCAAGTTATTCTTCTTCTTAATGTACTGTGTCCCTTCAGGACGTAGGCGATCATAGCTCTCCACTTCTCCCTATCCCTTCTAGCTCTCAATAAGTTTCCTCCCGATGCCATCTCCTCCAGACCACGTTCTGTCATCAACTTGTTTAAGCCCTCCAGGTACGTCATGCGTTGCTTTCCTTTGTCTCTATTTCCCTTTATTCGACCTGTGAGTATTAGATTCTCCAGGCCCTCATTGCCGGGTGGTGTGTGGGTTTCGCAGACCTGTGACTAATGTTGCTCATATAACTGCTCTTTAATTATGTGACCCGATAATCAGAACCTCCAAGTAAAAAAATTAAAAAAAAAAAAAACTCAATGGAGGCATGGCAGGGGTGTGTTTGGCAAAATGCATACTGGGTAGACATGTGCGGCCCGGCAGAAAATGAATCAATCATAGCCTAACAGTAGACCTGTGTGTGCAGTGTAAGCAAGTAGACGGATTTCTCATTACGTGTCTCTAGAAATATCAGCTGCTTCTTCCTGATATTAAGTATAAGCTTCCTCCTTGTTTGTATCCTCTTCAAAACCTCATCGTTGCTCACTCTCACGGTCCATGATATCCTCAGCATCCTTCTGTATAACCATACCTCCGTCGCCTCGAGTCTCTTCTTCGTCTTTTGTTTTGGTGT